TTGGTATATATATTATGCTATTGATTCATTTAATAGTATCATTTCACCACCTCTTGAGTACCTAAGAATTAGCGACGCAAAATACATTGCTGAAAAAATAAAAAAATTACTGACGTACTGACATAAGATTCCTTATTAAATTTTTCTAGCTGTCAAAGAAATTTACTAAGATGGTACACATCAATAAATTAAAAAATCACTGACGTATTATACAATACTAAATTCCTTAGACAGCTAATAATATCCCAAGGCATGCCATATTGGTGATTTTAAACAACATCAACGTGGTTCAAAATGTTGTTTAAAAGTTGATTGGCAGGTGCAACTACATTTTAATAGAAAGAATTTAGCATTATGAGGTGATTTTTGAAGATTTACATAAATAACATTTTCTTCATTTGTAATCTTTGTTATTCGTTACTCATGCTTTTAACTCAATTTATATCTTCACCCTTAAACTTTAATATATATATATATATATATATTTTTTTTTTTTGCACAAGTAACTTCTTTTGTTAATTATTAAACTCTTTTTTCTCTTGGTTTATTAATGTATATATTACTAATTTATCAACAACTATTTTATGTTCTTGAAAATGATAATTGCTAAATGAAAGCCACGGATGTTTAGTTAATAATTTTAGTTTCTAAGTAGCAAATTATATATTTCTACTTTCATATTATTTAGTTCTTTGAAATGGAAAAAGATAATTTTTAATAGAAAAATTAGGAAAAAAAAAGAAAAGATAGAGATTGTGGGATTGAAAGAGTAAAATTTTGAAATTATATATTTCAATTAGTTATTCCATTATTTAAATATTATTACTATGAGGCATTGTTTCTTATTTTAATAAAAATATTCATTTAATAAAAAATTAGTAGAAATATGAATTAGGAAAGTATATTCATTTCTTAATTTTGTTAAGCTTCTTAAGAAAATATCAATTAAGCAGATAATCAAAATTAAATTTTTTCTAAAGAAAATAAACTATTGTGACTATAAAAAATACTCAACACAAATCTTGTAAACAAAATCTCAAGACACAAATCTTATAAACAAAATCTAGGAATTAAGATGGTATTGAATCAGTAATATAATGCACCTTATTGATGAAAGATTGTAGATTTAACAATGTACTACAAATCAGTAATACAATAATTCAGCAATGTATATTACGTTGATGAATGGTGAAATTTACCACCTTAAACTGCACATTTTTTATCTATTATTATTCGCTATAACTAGTAAGGTTATGCACTTGGTGAGCCATGCAGCAATGTGGTGCACATTGGTGAAAATGTGAGGATTTTGCTTGAAATTCCCTATAGCCAACAATACTATCCACGTTGATAAAGGAGTCATGCAATAATGTGCTGCATGTTGGTGAAAGCGTGAGGATTTGCAACTTGTATCTCACGTTGATGATTTGCAACTTTTTAAATTATAATATAATTAGCATTTTAGCATACATTGGTAAATGTGGGGAAATTTTTGAATTTTTTTGACAAGTTATTTTAATAAGATGACATGATGGTAATGTACATAGATGATTGAATATTCTGTCAAAATAAAATTGAAAATAACTATTAGTAACATCTTATACAATATTGCATAGTTCTATTTATACTAAGAATTACAGAGCACTCTTCATTTCTTCCATTTCTCCTCCATTTTCCTCCATTTTTTCTCCTTTATCCTCCCATCAAATTAACCAATTGGTTAATTATTTATTTATGAAGTATTTAATTTGGTTTCTTTTTTTGGAGAATACTTAAGAATTTCTCAAATATTCTACTAATAACCCTTTTTGGTTTTTGTGTTTGATTTTGTAAGAATTCACATTATAATGGAAAGTATGATATAAACCCTAAACCAACATATATACCATGAGTTCTTTATTTTATGTTGATTTATTTTAAATTTTATGGTAATTCTAATTATCAACACAAATAAATTTTTATTTTTGTAAGTAATCATTTGTGGTAAAGTATTATTGAGTATATATTATGTTGATTTTACTTCAAAGTACTGGTTTTTTTTTTTTTCTTTTTGTATTCTTTCATCTAATTAGCAACTAATATTTAATGATTTTGTAGGGAAATCGAGATTTGTTCATGTTAATTTTCAAAGGTTTGATCAAAGGTCTATATGACTTGTTATCATATTAATATAAATGGGTTTATAATGGATGAATATTGTAATTTAGAATTTATTACCCATTTTTTTACATTTTTATTATATGATAAGAAAACTATATAATGATTTTGTAAGGAATGAATAGTATTGGGAATTTGATTAAATAATACTCAAATTAGAGTTAATGGTGATGGAATTGCGGAAATGAAATAGAATTGTTGATAAATTTGTGTAGGTGTTTAGGGTATTTATAGAAATAATATTGGAGGAAGAATTATTGGTGTGTTTTCTTTTCCATGTTGAGAAAGTCAGTATTATAGCCCACGTTGATGAAGATGGTTGGGAAAATTTTTTGTGTTTAAGCTAAGAAAGTTGGCATTGTAACCCACATTGGCGAAGTTGGGCGGGAAAATTCCTTTTTTTTTTTTAATTACAAAAAGTTAGCAAGGTGAACCATGTTAGTAAACATGGGCAGGTAATTTAAATTCATAAATAGTATTATATACTACATCAATGATGTACATATTTCACCACTTTTTAGTATGATATGCATTTGGATGTAACATTGTAAACTATGTTAGCAAATTAAAAGAATCACTGACATAGAATGCCTTGTTTTTTTCTACAGGAGTCTAGCAACCATTCCGGTAACATAATATTAGCATGGCTTCTTATGTTGGTGAAGTCCAGCATTGTCAATGTAGATTACAATGCTATATAAGGTGCTAGAATCTAACGATCGGTCTGATGAGTAGGATTTAGTAAGGTGATACATGTCGATGATGTACTTATTTTCATCGACGTGATTTCATGTTCTCTTGCTGATAGTATCATTGAGAGAAGCTTCACCAAGAAGGATATTACTAACGTAGTACATAATGGTAAACGTATTCAATAATATATTTCTAAACTTTCACTAACTTGTGCTCACGTTGTTGATAGTGTGCTTTCTAGTAGCGTACATGGCTCTCATAGTGATAGCTTGAATATGGGGTTGGTCATGTGATTTTTCCTTTTATGAATTTTTCAACTTAAAAATTTAAAAATACTATAGTTATAACGCATTGTTATATTTAAACTTATAAAATGATGTATTTTTATATTATTGATTAGTTTTACTTAAAAATTTATCTATAATATTATATCTATTTATTTATTTAATATTACATGATGTTTATTTAATATTATATTATAATTATAAACTTATAATTTTATATAATATTATAATTATAATATTATTGTTTTTGCTTTTATTTTTAAGTTTAATTATTGTCCTCTGATGTAGGGTTTCAGGTTATTGTGTCTGGACTTTGGAGTTACTTTTACTAAAAAAACTTGGGCCCATGCCCTGAGCTCAAAGCAATGGAAGCGTGACTATGACTGTTCCTTATTAGGTCCAGCGATGGCAGTGCGGCAGGGCAATAAAAGCCCATTGCATATTTGCATATGCAGCCCCACCTTAGGCTGGCATATCCCATCCAAATTCTAAACCCCTTCTCATTTTTAAATTCCAAAAGGAAAAGAGACAATGACAACGAGACTCGACATAACAATAACGTACTCAAAAATAGGGCCATGCATAGGATTTCTTAACCCAGGACACCTTTTTTTTAAAAAAAAAAAAAAAAAAAAACCCCCCCGGGAGTCCTTTTCACCATGCCCATTTGACTCAGTAGCAAGTGGGTTACAACTTACAACCCACAAAC